TCGGTTAACCGGTTTCAACCGGCTACTGAGGCTCGGTGGTCGGTCAAGAAATTTTTTAGTTTTCGCCATCCCTACTTGAAGCATTATTTCTCAGTGCCTGGTCAGACCGGCACTGTTTTGGGTCATGCTGTCATGGATATATTCAGGTATGTTTATTCAAGGCTATGTCTGTATTTCTTTAATAAGGCGTAATAAGTCTATAGTGTCCTTTGGTTCTCATAATGCAACCTTGTGCCCCATGTTCTTCAAGGTGGGACAACCCTTGAGAAATCAAGCACCAGGAGAAACACTCAAAGAATGTTAGTACAAAACTGAAAGTGCAGAATATTGTGTTTGTTCTCTCTTAACAAATTTGTCTGCCTGTCCATCATTCGACACAAGGCTTAACATAAATGATCAAGGCAAATTGTTTTAGATTGAGAATTTTAATATTAAAACATGATATATTAATATCCCCTTGCGTAAATATATTCCCTTGGCAGCAGGGGCCGCCTGGAGATACTGGCCCCCAACCCTGACCAATGCAGTGATGATACAAATTTTTAGGGCCCCCCAGCAGTGGCTATGGAAGGAGCAGGAGTTTGGGGGGGGAGATGAATTTGCCCCAGTGGTGGGGGGGATATAGCACGACATCTCAAAGGGCAGGCATGCAATAGTCACATCGTGAAAGGACGGCATGTAAGAGGGACTTTAAAATAATTTTATAAGAAATATCTCATAATTTTAAGTAAAACTAAGACTGTCTTTGGCACAGTTTCACAACATAATTTAACAAGTTAGTGATCCGTATGATAAAATTAGTTTGATAGGACTGCAATCTTCGTTAGGTACATCTTTGTCCTGGTGCTCTGCATGCCTGCTTAGTGATACTCAATTCCATTCATAAATATTATAGGCCTAGTAGTTTTTGCAAAGCTTCCTTTTACGTTTATTAGCTGACCTACACTCTGTGGCAAATCAGAAGATGCATTCGGGTCACATAGGCAAAGGAGTCTCCCACAGAGAAAGATGACAAAGGGCACCAAGTTTGATCGTAAATAATGTATTTATAGTTTGATCGTAAATAATGTATTTACGCCCATCTACCGGTACCTATGAGGGCTTACGTCTGCAGCCAGTAACATGACCTAGCTGCTCAGAGCCTAACATGCATTCTCGACTAATCTTTCCTGAATGGCTTCTGCTACAAAGCAGCAACAAATCGTCTACCTAATAGTCACCACCTTCCAAAACCCTGGCTGTTTCTCTTTGCAGGTACTAATCTCTGTGAAATTTTCTCATAAAGAACAAAAAGAACTATCATCGTCCCAATTTTAAAGCCAGATATCAATGGTGTTGAGTATCAATATTAAACAAAAATGATTTTATCTTTAGTGAGAATAAAATATACATGAAAATCTATTATTGGGCATCGATAAGGTGTTAAATAACATTACAGCACAGCAGATATTTGATACATTAAAAAATAAAAATTGGAGGGAATGTTTAAGTACTATTCATTTTTAAGTTGTTTCAGTAGATTCCTAAAATATTGTTTTTTAAGACGGTTCATGGTGTTCAGCTGCATGTGAATGAACAGTATATGTTATAGCGCTGCCATCTAGTGGAAGTGTGGTGTCACTGTCTTTGTTCATTCTTTGAAGGTACGGCCTTGTAGGGAGAAAGACTTCATCTCCCGCTGCGAATCGCCGGCTTATTTCTTTTAACTCGTCAGTTTACTTGATTTATTCGTTTTGGCCGAATCAGAACAGGTTATAGCACCTTCCACTGCTCCCGCAGTGAAGGTGTAGATGTATCGACTTCTTCCGTGTTGAATAAAGGCTATTCTAACATTTTGATCGCACTGTTCACACAACAGCCATAAACCTTGACTAGGGCGCGACTTCCGTATTTTATATTAGTCTCCATTTTAGAAGTTACTGAATAAAACAGACCTATGGCATTTCCATCTTTTATTAGGTTATAATTCACAAAGCATAAAATATTAAATTGCTTTTAATTTATATAATTAAAATACATAAAATGAAAGCAAGAACTGAAGAACCCTGAAAACATCCAAGAAAAAAATAAATAAAATGACTAAACCTCACCAGCAGAGGGCAGCCCAACAGAAACCATTATCCATTTGTACTCTCAGTGACTCTGTTTACTTCACACTCATTCATTCACCTGATGGGGTTTGCCATCTCAAAATGTTAGCCAGTTGTGTGCATTTACTACATGTGTCTCCATTGCTTCCATTAAAGTTTTGTTCTCTACAACCCATTACAGTGACATCTTTGCAGAAAATAAAACAATCGGCACATCTTTATGCCTTAACAGCAGAGGTTTGTGGTTATGTTCCATCCATCTCCTCCTTAAGCCACACGGTTATGCTTTTCTTCAAGCAGACTGGCATGTGTTTGGGCATGGGGGGGTGGAGGGGGTGGTAGGTGCCTTAGGACCTCCCGATCACTTGAACTACCTATCCTGGTACTTACAGACATTCTCCTTGCCTGTTTCTTCAAAGTGTCTCGTCTGGGGCACATGGACCTCCGATGCTCCTTCTCTAGATCAGCATTTCCTAGCCTGGTCCTTCAGGACCCCCAGACAGTCCACGATTTTGCTCCGGGAGCTGGGAGGGAGCAAAAATGTGGACTGTCTGGCAGGGATATAAGAGGGAGCAAAAATGTGGACTGTCTGGCAGGGATATGAGAGGGAGCAAAAATGTGGACTGTCTGGCAGGGATATGAGAGGGAGCAAAAACTTCAACTGTCTGGGGTCCCTGAGGACCTGGTTGGCAAACACTGTTCTGGCTCATTAACCCATTCTGCTGCAGTCCCCCCTCTCTCCCCCAGGGAGAGAAGAGATCTTAACCCTGTTTCCTTTCAAACCTCACCCCAACCCACCTTCACTAGCTCTAAGTCCCTCCTACAAACCCAGACAACAGTTTCTGGTAAAATGAGGGTAAAACATATCATCAGGACGGTGACGAAGATGCTGATACGACGCAGCACTAGTACAGAAAGCTTGGCTCTGATTCAGAGCTGCAAACCCGCCCTCCCAAGGTCCTGCAAGGGAAGTGCTCCAATTATTCCAGATAGAAACCCATTTAAAACAAAATTCAACGAGCAAAAACGCAAACATCACCCCTGGCAGGAGACTCGCAAAAAGGACACCATTTCACCCCCACCCCCCGATAGTGGAGAGGGCGGCAAACGTCACTGTGATCAGAGTGGCACTGCAGAATTTCTTATAATAATGTCATACAACGGTACGTTAGGAGCATCACCTGGTGTTAGAAAAAGGAAGAGAACGTGAACAGAGACCCACGAAAACAATAACAGAAAAAGAAATAAACCAAGACATTTTATTCCTAGTGATGAAAAGGGCAGGTTGAGCAGGCCAGCTCCGCCCCTTGGGGGCTGCCCACAGCACTGCCTGCCTGCTAAGCAGACCCTTGCTGGTGGGGTCCTAATGGTGGCGAGATTCAGGGTACAGAATGTCTGTAAGTCCTGCCGACACACTAGCTGGCTCTGTCCTGCCCTTCCTGGGGTTGTCCCCTCCCCCTCGTCCCCTCAGTGCAGTCTCATCTCTCCGTCACATGGTTCTGTGCGGTAGGCGAGGGTGTGCAGAGGATTTCAGAGAGGTCGTCCATGATGGAGGTCTCCTTGGGGTCCACCAGGTTGAATTCCCTTATGAATACGATGAAATGTGCGTAGAGTGTGTTCAAATGGCCTTGCAGGTCCAGCGCCACAGTCTCCTTAAAGTGCGCCCAGTAGATGTGAGCCAGCACATGGAACAGGTACCTGCAGATCTTCTTCACAAGTGACTCGAACGAGTTTGGGAATTCTTTGCCTGCATCATTCAGCGCAAAGAAAGACAGGGTGGTACAATGAGGGGCACAGAAAGAAAAAAAATTAATTGATCTTTACAAGTGCTTTTCACACCCAAATTGATTTTTTTTAAACATAGCCACTAGGGGGCATAAAGCTCATTATAAAATCCAAGCTGTCCCAATTAGACAATTTGCCCTGGAGCCCCAATCTGTACACAACGATTCATGCCAGCTTCTAAATTTATGATGTCATTAATTCAGATTCTTAGATAAGCAGGTTAAATAAGCATCTAAAGGAGTAATCTGTCATTTGTATATCCTGATAAGTATTGAATATTATAACTAATGATTCAAAAAGTACATTCAATTTTAGTCAACTAATCAGATAACTTTTGATAGACAAAAGCCAGACAACAGGCTTCTAGGGTCAGCCAGAGATTTACAACACAACACAACTGCAATATTACATGAAACAGCAGGGGGCAGCAATTACCCAAACTTACCGTATTTTGTGGGAAAAATGTCTTCATCTGTGACCAGTTTCTGCACCAAACTCATGACAAAGTCTACATACTGGGGAGCTGTGCATTTCGTTTTCTTCCCCTTTTCATCATACCAGTAGTATATCCTTCAGGAGAGACAAACGCGGGGAGAATGTTAACGATTATTTGCCATCGTCTCCTGTGAGTGACATAACACACACAGCCTAAGGTGGGTCTGTGCCGTTTCCACAAGTTAACCATTAGCCGAAGGTTACTGGGTGTGTGACTTCACACGCTCCTTTAATCTGCTCTAAGCCCATAAAGGGAATAGGAGGGCTGTGTCCACAGGGTACAATACAACGGGACACTTCGGACAAAACGACATTGCATTGCTGGACACCATTATGCATGAACTCGCATAACCTATCGCGCATTAAACATTGCATAGGTGGATTTCAAATGCCTACTGACAATGTTATCCACCGTGTGCCCCCCCGCCCCCCCGACTCATCAAATCATGGAAAATAAAACGAGCCCCTTAAAAACGCCTGGAGGTTCTCCCATCAGACCATCTTTCTTTTCCATAAATAGAGAGGGGAAGCGCTGATGTTATCTCACTGGTCTCAGCCAATTAACCAAAAGAGAGAGAGAACATTGGCTACCGTTTATACACTGGAGACCCAGTGAGGGAGGGAGAAAAAAAGCAAAAGGAGACCTCTGCCCTGTGATTGGGTTACAGCTCATAAAGGGCCACCCACTAGGCCAGAACGGGGCTGTGATGATTAGAGGGCTAGACAAGCAGAACAGATCCTCTGCAGAACATCATTTCTGAACATAAGCCTATCATTGACCCCTGTGACACAGGAATGACACGCCCCATTACCCGCCTGTTTGCTTTGTTCCTCTCCCCTTAGTCAGCTGATTTACGAACAGAACGGTTTTGCAATTTGCCAAGAGGCCGGTTTTTCCAGGACTTGTAAACCTCGAATGACCTCCCCACATCGTGAAAAGTGTGTCGGCTCTGAAAGGAGCAGACATGTATACACCCATTTCTGGTGAAAATTCCATTCAAAGTAAGGGCACGTGTGCCGTCCGCTCCCATCACACCGTCTAAGTCTCGGACAAAGATGGACATTTTGGTCTAATCCAGCTGGTCACTGGGCCAGCATGCAGCCCTGCTGGCATTGAGTGGTGTGGGGTCTCTTCACACCCCGCCATGCCCTGTTCTGTGCCGTCGCCTTGATGCTTGTGCCAGCAGAAATAGCCTTAGGCTCCAAGCTTACCTGGCGACAGAACAGAGGGGGGCAAGGGGGGATAAAAGCCCTAAAAGAGCCTCTTTTAAAAACAGACTACAGAGTCTGTTTGATCTCTGTGTGCAGCCTCTGCAGCCTCAGCAAGTGCCTCGTCACTGCCACCTAGTGGGCAACTCTGTACCAAAACGGCACACGAGTTGAACAACAACCTTGGTTCCTTGGCGAGAATCTAGCCCGAAGGCTCTGGGCACACATAGGGGGCCCAGTCACTGTGCAGCATTGCCCGGTGTGTTGCGACGGCACTTACGTGTTGCAGGCCGTCATGGCTTGGCAGGTCTCCCCGGTGCAGAACTCCGAGATTGTGCTGTACTGCAGGTTGATGAGATTGAAGAAGGTCGTCGCTGCAGGGCAGTGAGAAGGAGCGAGTGAGACGATGCGCAGGAAGCATAATTACAGGCTGCCACCGGTCTGCATTTCTGTGGCTCCGATTCAGGAAGGTTTTGGGGTGTGTGTCAGACAGGAAAGGTGGCTTTGGCGAGTAACAGAGCATGACACATTTAAAAAAAAAAAACAAAAAAAAACTGCAGACTGAACAGAAAGTAAAAAAATAAAATAAAAAATGCAGCCTTTGTCTCTGAACCTGTAAGCCTGTGTACACTGTGGGGCTGGGTAATGTATCAGGCAGCCAGACTCCTCCAAACAGCAGCTATGCACAGGCAGTCTGTGTCTGACGAGTGTCTGACATTACACACTCAGGGAAGTTTTAATTAAAAAGCAGTTACTGAGGCTCTACGTTTCCTGTTTGGAAGGGCTTGAAAGGTTTAATTAAATTAAGCGACGTGTTCGTACAAGGACAGTGAGTTTTTCATAGAATTTGTAACAAATATAGTTTAAAGAAACTTGTTTCAAACACACCCATGCTTAGAGATGTTCGAAATCACGCCCAGAAAGGTTCAAATAAAAAATGGCTGAATTGAGCACGGGGGCCGGCGGAGGGCGACTCACTGCTGCTGGCCAGCCATTCGTTGAGGTCGATCTCACGCGGCAGCACCACCAGCTCCTTCAGGTCAAAGTCCACGACCCGCACTTTGGTGTACTCCGATTCCAGGTAGTGCTTCTTCTCCTCGGTGGGTGGCTTCTTTCCATTGGGCTTCGTCTTTGACTTCCTGCGGGAAGCACAAGGAAGGGCGGCAGGGCGTTAAAGATGGGTGGAGATGAGTGGCGGATGTAGAGCCGATAGCTATTGGCGACACGGCACTGCTAGCGTGCTTCAGTCTCGGAAGCATGCAGGAGGGACATGTCACAGCCTGTCATTAAGAGTAGCCCCCCCCCCCAACTGACCGTCCTCCGTTGGCCCCTGAAGCTGTACCAGCCACCAACCCCTGTAAACCCCCCCCCACGGCAGCTTGCGTTATTTCTGTTCTCTGTAAAACATTCAATTCTAATGTTGAATGTTTTCTCTGTGGCACAACGGACGTCCACAAGAGAAAAAATTAAGAATGTAGTTGGTGGAATTTATCATCAATATTAAATATGAAATGATGACAAAAGAAAACGAAGAGCATTAGCCTATTAATACTTGTTTGTAGTACGACTGTGTTGCAGTAAAATCTCAGGTCACGGCCCCCTGCACCCCCGAGGGCCCTAATAACAGGCCTCTGTCCTGCCCTGCAAGCCAGCGCTTCACGGCTGCTCTGCAGATTCCTGTCTGCATGGCACGAAGCACATGTCAGAGGTGTACGTGCTAATGAAAGACTCTTTCACTCAGCAGGAAGCGGGGCCTGTCCCCCCTTTGGCTGCCATATGAGCGAGTGCCCAGCTTTCCCAGCGACATCCCATCCAACAATAACAAGGGCTGGGGGGGCCGCCGCCAGCGCAGTGGGACAGAGCTGCATTACCGCTGTACCCTGTAGCCAACACCCCCGAGCGCCTTGGCCAACAACTCTGGCCTGTCCTTTCACACAGATGCCCAGCTTGTGTTTCCACGCCCCCACAGGCTCCCGCCATGTACACTGCCAGGGTCAAGCCCCCTAAACCCCCCCCCCCAAAAAAAAAACTTGCATATGCCAGCACAACCAACAAGGGGCCTTCAGATATCCTCCAATCAGCTGCCGTTCATTTGTCCAAACGGGGCCGTTTTGGGACTCTGAGTCGTTCTTCACCAAGACTGTTGTTACAGACCCCCCGCCCCCCCAAAGTGTTCTCTTTAAATAAGGTGGATTATTAATTTATCACTTGCATTTGCTTCTCAGATAAGCAATTTGTGAGATGGATTGATTTTGTTCTGCAAATAAAATCACCATCACGCAGACTCCACAGAGCGTGCAAGATGCAGCACAATGCGTGACCCACTACAGTCCACAAGGCCAGATCAAAACACCCCCTTACTGTTTATGCCTGAACCGTGTTCTTACTTGAAATGACTCCCCCTCGTCTCTCCCTGACCCCGCTACCGTGCGCCAGTTTGAGGACAAAATAATACACATTAAAGAATTCCAGGACGCTCCCCAGATTAAATTTATAGTTCACTGACTGACCCTGCTATCCAGGCTCCACCTTCTCTCTGTGTAAACACAATAACCCCCCCCCCCCACCACACTCCCCCATGTGTTCTTGGCAGTCTCTTGCAACTTCCTGTTCGCTCCAATGGTTCCCAATTCCTGGAAACCAACAGCGCTGAAACCAGGAAGACAGCCGACGTCGGAGGCACGCACAGACCCAGCACTGAGCCAAGGAGCTGTATCAATGCCTGCCCCCCCCCCCCCACCCCCGCCGAAAGAATACAGACAGCTGCAGGAGAGTCAAAGGGATGAGGAACGACCATTTGAGGCAAGACAGTTTAATAGAAAATAAGCTCTGCTGCTAGATTAAAAACTTGGCGAACTGTAATTTAACGTCCTCCTTAAAATGTCACCAATTCTTGTGCTGCTGCTGTCGTAAACAAAAACGCAATTTGGTGGAGAAGCTCTTATGCTGAGAGTGGAGACAATGAAGAGGCAGGCGGGGCAGCTGCGGACACCACCTGGCGGGCGAGTGAAAGGGGGACTGGCAGCTGCCGCCTCACGCGGTCGCGGGAACAGAGAGCAGAGCCCCGTCATCCATGAAGCAGCTCCGAGAAGCCAGCACAACCCGGCCAAGGGGGGGGGAAAGCACATTAACACATTAACAAGGAAGCTCCAGACAGGAGGAAACTAAACTTATGAACACAGATCAAACGAAATGAACCGTGGGGAGTGTTTCTGTGATTTTGTGTTATCTGGCTCCGGACCAGTTAGATCCATACGACACGGTGTAGATTATCTAGAAAAGGACAAAATATTCCAAAATAAACAGTTCAGAACAGTTGCCTAGTAATCAGCCTGTACCACCAGTTTGGGTCACTGGGAGGAGACTGAGGATCCGACCCCGGGTCTGGTCTTTGCAGACCTTGAAGTGTAAACAGCGAAGAGACCAGCGCAAACACACGCGCCTGCAAACACGCACACTGCCCACATTCCAGCAGGATTAGGGCAGGATTTCAGAGCGTGTCCTGGCCTGCTGGCTCAGTGGCGGAGCAGCAGAGCGCGCACTGCGCTTCCCGGTTACTCACGTACGCCCAGCAACGCGTCTGTGGCAGAACTGCGGCAAGCACAGTGGAGGAGAGAGTCATTCTCCACACTGAACACAAAAGCAGCGAGTCTGTCATAAGCCCATGATGGCCCAGTCCTGCTTTGGCCAAAACCCCCATGAACATAGAGAAGCATTAAGTTTCAATTCCCACTGAAGTACTGAGTGATTTAAACAAAGTAGGAGGAGAGTCTGCTGGGTGAGTCCAGGCATCTTGTGCCCAGGAAGTCCTTTCCAAGAATTACGCAGAGGAGAACTGAGCTCTGGCCTGTGCTGAAATCACTGGCTTTGGGAGTGGAGGCAGACAATGCCTTTTAAGGCCAAAGCGTCTCAGAAAACAATCACCAGGTTGTCAGGAGATGGAGCACCACCACTTCTGGCCGAGTAGGAGTGGCTCTTTTCCCAAAATAAACCAAGAATTTGCCATGTACCACACAATTTCGGAAAGGTGGAGCTTTCTGGGAATGAGAAATTACACACAGGAGTGGGAAATCACTTTGCAAAACTGAATAATTCGGCAAACCAGCCAAAAAAGGCAGAAGACGACGCAACAACTATTTCCTTCGGCGGTCTTCTGTGGGATCTTTCTTGTGATCTTAATTGAAAGTGCAAAAAACAGATGTAATAAGAGGTGTTTCTGATGGTAAAGGCACCCAACAAAATGCACGAACTTCACAGAAGGGAAACGAACTTGGAATCACTGTTGTGTGTTGTACTGAGTCAAGCCATTTAGGAGGGGAAGAGAAGAGTGGGACTCAAGCTGGCATACAAACAAAGACCTTGTTAATAGAGGAAGCTCAGACAGGTCAGTCAATGGCATTATAAAGCTCTGAAAGACCTGGAGATCTGTCCTACACTGCCAACATTTGTAACGTGGCCAAAGAGGACCTTCGTGCACAGCGTCACAATATAGCGAGTTCTAGTTGTTTAAGCGGGTGCCAGTGCAGATTTCTATTCTGGAAAACTGGGTTTTGACCCAAATTTTCTCAACACACACACAGCCATAAGATCTGCTAAATCCACTGTATGCTGCAAGAGCCCTTCTCAGTACTCAGAAGTAAAGCCTCACCACATGGACGCAAAGCAATTGTGCCAAAAAACAAAATCAGAATTGACTGAACATACATTAACTTAGAAGCAGATTAATTTTAAAAAGGCTATTTGCAGTCCTTAAAACCAAATCCTATAAAAACTGGACGTCTGAGCGATTTGTCTGTTTTTAATTGCGTTACTACATTGAAAATCTTGTGTCGTCAGCTTGATCTCATCTCAGAAAGCTCACACTGAGAATCAATGTAACTGCACAAGTGACCCAATGAAAAGCTGTCTGCTCAATACAGCAACCTTAAGCGGCAAACAACTGCACCATGAGCCAAGCGTTAGCCAATCCCCAACCCCGTATTTGCCAATCCAGTCTCTGGGGACCCGCAGACAGTCCATGTTTGTTTGGGAGCTGAGAGGGAGCAAAAACGTGGACCGTCTGCGGCTCCCCAGGGACCGTGTTGGGAAACGCCGTAACCTACTACAGCCTGAATGTCGTATTCTTACAAACACGCTTTCCACAGCCCTTTTGTCTGCAAACCAGCATTCCTAATTTTATTGCCATATTATGCAATCACTCACATTGTTCTTTTATGTTTTGTTTGAATATTTCTGACCAACAGCTTAACAGTCCATGTTTCCAGATGGCTATGAGTTTGATCCATGACAGTCATGGAATGAACAAAATTCCAGCTAAGCGAGGAGCCATCTTGGCACCATTATGCCAAACGCTACCCGGGGCTGGACACCACATAAAACCAGTTAAAGTTCTGTTACACAACCCACAGTCTTGTTTGGTTACTTTAAAATGGTTAATCTCTATTGTGTCATTTCTCTCAAAAGCTTGAACAACAACTAGCACTTAAAACGGCTTTGATTCATCTGTACTAGTCAAGGAGGGAGTCAGAAAACAAAATACGACCAACTCTATGGTAATGAAATTACAATGGAATCTGGCTACAGTTTTGAAAGAATTCACTTGCTTTGCCTGAAATACCATGGTTTTATCGCCGTTTATCACCATTCTCTGTCAAGATTTAGGCAGGTGTCCAAAAAAACAAGATCACCTGACAGCCTAGTTTAGTACACAACAAGAAGGTCATGGATACGGATTCACTCTTCATGGTTGGGCTGGTGGTGCTTTTTATCACATGAAACAAAGACACAGGAAGGCCAGAACGGACATTAGCCACTTGAACCCAAGAGGGTGTCACTGAGCTGCCTTGTCCAATAGGAGGAGGGATTCTGAAACCATCACTGTAACCCGAGGATAATGTCAGATCCAGCATTCCGTATTTTCCTCGAACTCCTTCACAGGTCATTTTTAATAACACCCCCCCACACACACTCCCAGCCATGAACATTTACACCTGTGTGTCAGACACGAACGTCACGCTGCGGCTCCACAATAAACACCTTCAGCCGTGAACATCTTGGCTCAATCCACTTCCCTGGGGCCTGGAAACTCCTGAAAAGCCTCAGCTCAGGTTGATCAAGTTTATGGGCAGAGTGAGCCTCT